GTAACCATATCAATTAACCCATACTATGTCACAATGATGACAAAACAACCTTTTATAAACCTTTTCTCACTTACTTTTTTCAGGACAAAAAAGGAAAGTTAAGTGACCTTACGATTTTAGAACGGCAACGCGACGATGACGGCCAAAACAAACTCCTTCAAATAAATGGTATAGTAAAGATAATTCGTGGTATATTATCAATCGTATGAATTTAGTACAGACTTGGAAGTTGAAGACATGGGTTTTATGGTTGGGAAGAGTTCTACTGAACCCAGTTTGAAGTTGAACTTGTTGCGGCTTGAAATGCAGCCGTTGTATAAGACGTGAAAATCTGTGATTTGGCGTTGTAAACAGAGCGAGGACAATGTCTAAATTATTCATATATTGTAATTATTCAAATCTTTTCAATGATCTATTGTATTGGTAGCCGTTGCCGTCCTAAATCGTAAGGTCTCTTTAAGCTAACTTTATTTATGCTTTATCTTCAGTTCTAAACTGTTCTACCTGGAAGTGCATGAAGATCTTCTCATCATTGCTCCAGTTTGTTACTAGACGGGGAGCAACCTTGCACATAAGCCTGAATCCACACTAGCAATTCTGTCTGCGATTTTGCTCCTCCGGGAGAGTGTGATTGAATGAATGACATGCAAAGAACATGGAATTGTTTACTTCTGAAAAGCGACTCTGTACTTTTGTGTGCGAGTGCACTCATTTGCATCCGTCAGAAACACAAGATCGCCGACAAATTGTTAGTGTGAATCAGGCTTTAGTCCCCCATGTACTAAGGCCCTTAAATACTGGTTTTCACTAGTCGGCGACACTCGTCAATGTCAATTCCGTGACCGTCGGCGAACATCGCAGGCGGAGTAGGCCGAATAAAAATCGCCTTCGCAATTCAACAGCGACTGTCACATAAATCGTAATAATACACCCTCTCGATAATTACGTCACATACTTTTTGGTCTTGGAGCCTCGCTCTCATCAGTAAATTACGCAAGGTGATAGGCTTACGATTCATGAGAGTGAGGCTCCCAGGCCAAAGTGACGTAATTATCGAAAGGGTGTATTAGATCAAACGATGTTTTTGCGGAAGTCACCGACACTCGATATAAAACAAACGAAAACACAGTTCGCGAGAGCTGTCGGCAACAGTCGTAGAACTTTTATCTCGATACCAGCTCCTCTACACGCTTAAAATTCTCACGAAATCATGAAAACAACAAAGACTGTCGACGAACTACGACAATAAACATCGCCTGCCTGCGAGGCTCGCTGGCGATCGTGAAATAGAAATCGGCGACTGTTCGCAAGTGTCGCCGACTATTTAAATGAAAACCAAGCTGAAAAAAAAATGATCTCGTAAACTAAAGAAAACAAGGAAAGGATCATACCGGTCGTTCGCCCAGTAGCAAACAACGAGAGACTAGCTTGAGCACAGGAATACGCAGCAGGAACATGGAACGTCTCAAAAAGCACTTGTATCATTTCCTCACGGCTAGATTTCGGATTTACAACTGGTTCACTGAGCAGTACTGGGTATTGATCTGATTCACAACGTAGTTCTTCGTATACTTCATCTAGCAACTGTTATAAAAAGATATAATTACAAGAAAGCGAAGTGGTAGACAAATTTGCCTAAACTAAAATAAAAATCTGTAAGTTCTTTGAATGTGTAGTTTTGCATGGCGATAGTATAAAATAGGTTTTGGTTTTACACCAGGTAAATCTTAACCTCTCTATGAATAATACTGAAGTTCGATATTTCGAGCGAGGGCCCTTCGTTGTAGCGAACTAACTTTGGGAAGTAGGGCTTTCACTCGAATTAAACGTCGAAGTTCAGTCTGTTTGTAAAGTGAAGATCTTCATCACTTATATTATTAGCACTGATGGAAGATCCAGGCTTACGGATCGAAAGCTTTGCAATGATAAATGTACGTGGTGCTCCCACAAACTAAAACTTTGTTTATTTAAATTGGTATGCTCTTCAGTTTCAAACTGTTGTCCCAAAAGGTTCAGTGAGGGTCATACCTTATTCGTCCAGTGTTTTACTACTGGTAACAGTATATAGCATTAGTTGGAAGAGGAATTCTTATATAAATAAAGTTTATTATACTGGATAGTTCTATCAGATCTAACTGTTTTCCCCATAAGGAGGAAACCTAAACTAAATTACAGTGTAGCTTCATCTACACTAGATAGCTTTATCAGTTGTAACATTTCTCCCTACAGGTCCAATAAGCACTACCTTCCAGTGGTACACTATAGAAGTTGAAACAACTATGTTTCATTTATACCGGATAGCTCTACCAGTTCTAAACTGTTCTCTCCAGTGATTCAGTACGGGCCATCACTGCTTAACATATTGCTTCAGTGTTATTACAGGAGGAAAGTGGAATACCCGGGGGAGAAAGACTGCAGTGTCAAGCAAAACTATTTTCAGACAATTATTTACTATGGGGATCGACGCCCGGTCACAACATTGATATTCCTACCTTTTCCATGAGTTCCCAATTGTGAACCCGGCCATTCTTTAAAGGACGATGTAAATTTAAAACTTGATGTAAATGTTTGGCTTCCTCTCCTACATAGAAATCTTTATAACGTCCAGAATTTACCACCTATAAAAGAGTTTATTTCGATGCTGAATGATTTAACTAATTCATTTTCGAAAAACGAACGAGGCTTTTCCAATGTAGAACTGTATTCCTCCTCTATCGAGAAAAATGCAAATTCCAAGAGGAGGGGGACGAGTTTTAAAAGAACACCGATTTTCATCACAGTGCAGTCTGCAAACGTCTGAAGACTGTTGCTTTAGAAGCGTCAAACTGCTAGCTGCTGGTCCAAATAAGTGGCCTTTTCTAAAATAGACGACTTGTCAACAAGCTAACATCTGTTCGCACTGCTTGTTCCCAGTTATTGACAGGTCTGGAACAAGTTGTTATCATCTTGTAACAAGAGCCAACAGACTCGCAACAAGTTGTTCCAACAAGTCTGATGTCGTCTGCACGTAACAAGTTGTTAACAAGTTGATGACAACAAACTCGTAGCAAACTTGTTACGAACAGCCTGTGATAATCTTGTTGGAACAACTTGTAGCAACTTTGTTATCGTCATCAACCTTGTAACAAGGTGATAACAACTTGTTCCAGACTTGTATAACAACAAATGGGAACAAGCAGTGCGAACACAACCTGATATCGGCTTCAGAACAACCTTGTTACAACTTGTTTGCAGATCTCTAACAAACTGCGCGTTTTTACGTGCGTAATAGACACACACTGGCATAAAAATGTCTCCCATGGCGTTTACTAGATCATTTACGATATACACGTATGAAACCCACCTGCGACCGAGGTTTTCCAACAACTGAAGGAATAACGACTCTGGGTTGATCATCAATTGAAAATCCAGCTTTACAATATCCACTACCAGGATCGACGATTATAGACGATGTAAATGACGCGCTCTATTAGAAATGAAAAATATATAAAAAAAAATTCCTTAGGTTAAATTTTTAGTTCCAATGTCCTTTTATGAAGTATACACTGTCAGCTATTTCAATTAAGGTTGTCCACGAGCAAAGCGGAAAAGTCGAATACGAGCGCGAAAGGCTGCTGGGAACCGCTTTGAAAATTCATTAATTTGTTAGCGATTCCCAGCAGCCTTTCGCGCTCGTATTCGACTTTTCCGCTTTGCTCGTGGACAACCTTAATTGAAATAGCTGTATACCAAGCTCAGCAACTTCCTTAATTATAGAACTAGAACTAGAATCAGGGGTAATTTTAAAGAAATTTTCTTTTCTTCAGTCGATCAATGTTATGACACTTACCGAAGCATTCTCCGACAGATTCATGTTATGGCCAGCAAGACGCGCAGAGCGCAAATCAGAAGTACTGGGTACTATAAACGTGACCGGTTCTGGAACATTATTGTCATTGCTATCAACTTGTGTACCCTTGTATCGCATCAAATCCTCGTATTCACTCTCTTCTTCCTGGATATCCTCAAGTACCCTGCCAAAATCATCATCGTCACTGTCTTCTGACATCAAATGGTGTCCCTCAGGGATCCCTCGTTGGTCTTCTGTAGATCCTACTGTCCTAGGATGTCTTTCATTGATGCCATCGTTTGCTCCTGTTAAGTAAAAAATTAGATAAACATTAGAACATGACGTGTAGATGAGACTGTGATATTTAAGGCCGGTTTACATTATCAAAGTTTCTGTGATCACAGTAGGAATTTTGCATAGGTAAGTCCAAGTTTGGAAGGATTTGTAAAAAATGTTTCAGGAAAATGACTCAGTGTTAAACACCGAGCCAGTTCCCTCGAACATTTCATACAAATCCTTTAAATCATGGAATTTACCTATGCAAACTTCCTACTGTGATCACAGAAACTTTGATAGCGTAAGCCAGCACTTAAAGTATATTTAATTCAATCGTCCATTCGTATAGTATTTTACACATAATAAGGAAAGGTTTGCTATCTATCTATGTTGTCGCACATGGTGTATAGGAGCCTTTAAATTGCAATAGGTTTTATTTCAATTTCTTGGTCTCAGAAAGTGAGTATTAGAATCGTCTCGGCTGATACACTGGCAAATTGCTAAAGTTTATAATGTCGTAAGTTATGATTGTCTCGTAATATTGTTTTTGGGCTTTTAGCCTAGTTCACTCATAATTTTTTACCAGAAATTGAAACAACTTTGCCGTCGAAATTTTGTAATAATTTAGTAGCTCGCCTCATTAATATCGTACACGTAAGCATGTACAATCTACGAATGCTCAGGTAAGCTAGTTGAGCAAGCATATGTGTGTCAATTTCTGATTGCAATTTAATTCCGAATGTGTTATTCAAAACGGGATTAATGTTGAGAATACCTTCAGAATCTTGCTTTGGCTGGAGTCCACAAAGGTTGTCTTCTTGTTCCAATGTTCCCTTCCTCATGCTGTTGTTATTTGTCCCAAGTAGTCGACCACTGCGTTCAGCCTTAAAGGTTTCAGACATTTCAGAATTTCCCTCTGAGAAATTATTGTCATCTACATCAAGGCTTTCTTGACTGGAGAATGCATCACTCTGATTACGTAGTAAGTCTATCAGATCATCCTCTTCAACCGTTTTACAGTCCTCGTTCAGGTCTATAGTGAAGTCAACATCGAGTCCCAATTCTTCATTCCGTGGACTCTCACTCTCTTGAAGAGTTTTATCGTCATCAGATGTCGCTTCGTGACTGTTGAGTAACCCTATAAGGTCATTGTTTTGGATCGCCTCACTGTCCTTGCTCAGATCTATAGTAAAGTCAACATCGAGTCCCATTCCTCCGCTTCGGGCTCTCTCGTTCATATCATAAGGCATCGCGGAAAAATGGCGGAAATTTTAATAAGAAATTTTGATGTTTGATCCGCATAAAATATAGAAACTGCAGGTTTGTGCCAATGAAAAGAAGTGAATTCGTACTCAGCGTATATAGAAATGTAAATCCATGTAAATTTAAAGTAGTAACAGAAGGGGGGGGGGCGGCAAAAAAGCTGAAGGAAAACCAGTAACAGGTTTCGGTCAACCTCATTCCCAGGCTCTTTGCTCTTGGGAAGCATCCCAAGAGCAAAGAGCCTGGGAACGAGGTTGGGTTTCGGTATGTATGTTTTGTAGCCGGCAACGCAGTGTCAGCCGTGAGGCCCTGCGACCGAGGATGGTTTTGTAGTTTTTGGAACTCGTATAATGTTGTAATCTCAAATCTCGTAATTTTGTTATAAGGACTTTAGCCTGTCTATTCTTCCCATAAATTAAGCAATTTGCCTGCTATACTATTTAAAAATAATTTAGTAGCTCGCCTCATTAATATTCAGAACATGCATGCACGAACTACGCATGTGCCGTTCAGACAACCCAATTTGTCTTAAATATACAGTAAACTCTTGATCGCGAATTCTGATCATGCATGAAGAATAATCTATATTGTCCAATAATGTGAACATCAGTGGCGAAGCCAGCCCGACAATTTGGTCATGCAATGAATCATATTTCCCTGATGATGGCTCTGACATAGATTTGAAACACTGTGACATTGTCATAACACCAAAAATTAAATTAACAAGACGCTCTGCGGAGCGTTAACTCGCTGGGGCTATACTAGACTTGGTTAGGGCCTGAACTTCAGGTTAGTTGAAGTCCGTCTCTCATATTTTCGCACCTTTTTTGATATTTTCGCACCTTTTTGCGTGCATTGCTATTTTCAACCCCTTGAGAGACGGACTTGAACCCGAGTCTAGGGCTATACAAATACGCACATTAATGTACTAAAATGCGGTAGGCCCTACAAATAAAGTTATATTTTATAGTACGCTACATTCTATTTCTTCAAGACTGTCAGCCGCCAGTTGGTCCTTACGCTAGGATTAAACTGCGCTTTAAAAAAGATGTGGCACAGTCTGATCTGCGCATGTGCACAAATGAGCCCTCTTTTTATTTACAAACAGTTTATTTAGGTTTCTATTTCATTTTATGTTCTTGCAAAGCTTGACTGTTGTCTCTTGATAATTTATTATACCCTAGAATCATGAAAATATAAATAGTTGTCGAATAAAATTCAATATTTTGGATACCGAAATGTAAACAAAGCCTTTGTTTACATACGGACTGTACCGCATCTTTAAAACGTTCAAAATAAAATATTTAGGGGCTTTTGGGCTCAAAATACTATCAAAATGAAGAGAGAAGTGAGACGAATCTACTGGTATACGGCCGAAAAAGAGAAAACCAATGATACCAAAGTTATCAAGGATTAAACGCACTGCATTAATAATTTTGAGCGACTTGTCAACAATACAATTATTTCGCTTGGCTTTCAACTGACAAAGGCCATATTCGCTAGAATACTGTTGTTTAGTAATACTGTAATTTGACATCCGTAATTAGTACAATTTCTAACGCTGAATCGAACGGTGGTATTTTTATCCTCAATAGGTCTACGTACTGCGAGCGAATTATCAACAATACAATTTCGCTTGATTTTCAAAAGCAATAAATCGCTAGAATACTTGTGTTTAGTAATACACTTGACATCCGTAAGTACAATTTCTTACGCTGAATCGTAATTCGTAATCGTATTTCTTCTCAAAATATAAAGCAGCGCAGCCAAACGTAACTTGCGATTTGCGAAGGTTGCTGTTTCCATGTCGAAATTCCTTGTAAAATTGTTCAATTTTCCCGAATTTTCCTCAAAATGCAGGGTTATTAATGGATAATGTGGGTAAAAATTGGCAGGAGCCGCAGGAGCTTTATGGATAATTTGGGTAACAATTAGGTAGCTCATTAATATTCTATTTTGTGGCTATCGATCTTCAATCTTCGATCCACTATCGGAGAAAAATGCGAGCCGAAACCTATACTCGTCCGGGGCACAGGTACCCCAGCGAGTAATAAGTCGTGAATATAAACTTCATTATGTGCTTTCGTGCATAGATTAAATATGGATTTGATTACGTGCTCTTCCCAGGGGAGACAAAAGTACCAGCCCCATTGGTGCTTAAGACATTATATGCAATATGTCATAATTAATAATACTCGAAATCTTACGATATAATTATATGTTCGGTAACCTAATTCAAGTTCAAGTAATAGGTCCGTCCTAACTAGATGTAAACACGTTTTAACTGACTCGATACCAATTACTACAACAATTAATTTTAAGGGGACTATATCGCTTAGATTGTCAGTGGGATTGTTCTTTATACGAACACATCCCTGTTCATGTACATACATGTACTGTATGATTTTCATGGAAGAAGACATGCGGTTGCGCCAACTCTTTCATGATGCATTAATGGAAGATTTTTCCATGTGTCTTCACCCAGTACCAGGTATTCTGCTGTTTTGGGATTCACAGGGCGCTCAGATAATGGCGAATATATAATTTCATCTCCAGAATTTCCTCCCATAACGACGATCGTATCTCCCATAATTACTGCTGCACATCTTGATCTAAAAACATAAATTATATACCCTCTTTTAACCACTTCAGTCAGTGACTTTGAAAATATTTAATTGAAACCGCATGCAAATTCGTCAGTTGCCACTTGTTCACATCGGAATTCGTACAATTGGTTTCGAACTAGAAAGGCGTAATCCTGGCTAATTTGAGTACGCTCTCGAATTTTGTATAATATGCTTACCATATTACATGAAGATGATATCAAATCAAACAAAAGTGTCTTACCTCCTTTCCAACATGCTCGGCAACCTCGAACATTGTTGATTAGTGATGTTGTACATCAAAACATCGTTACACACGTCATATTGGTTCTTGTTACCGCCCAGTATAATGATATTGTCATTATGAACGACTACAGCCATATCATACAATCGGTAGGGCAATGGTGCTAGCTCTTCTATTTGTTTGGTTGTCATGTTATATAGCAAGACACCGTCTTTTGGATCCAGCGAGCTGCGAGTGGGACGGTCGCAACCACCAACAAGGACCACGGCGTTTTCGTTGACACGAGCAATTCCATTTCCACACGCCATTTTCCCCCTTTCATTATAAGAAGCAAGAACTGTGGTTTTAAATGGAGGTTTAAGGGATGTTGCCGACACAGACTTGCCGACAGTCAGTATTTTGTCACCACAAAGAACTCCTTTTCCACAATCTGTACCAGGTAATTGTGCAGGAAAGGTACTGAGAGATCTATTATTGGTGATATGCAAACATTCCACTCTGTTGGTGTGTGTTCCATCACAAATCATAATCTTGTTATCATAAAGGAACGAAAATGCATTATTATGGTAAAAAAAAAACTGTCCTCATACAAAGTCCATTTCTGAGTGGACCAGTTGAAGATTTCGTACGACTTGTCGCCTCCAGCTACAAGAATCTGTTTATCGATAGTAGGCTGCATGCTTTGGATTGGACTAGAGATCGAACAAGCTGCTCGGAAGATGGCCTGGGGGAATGTATGGACCAGTTGGTGTTGCATTGGGTTGTCTCATCAATTCGCTTGTTAGCCGTCGTGTAACAATTTGTTGCATTTGTCTTGCTTCGACTTGTATCAACTCCCTTCCTTGCGCTGCAATCGGCTGTATTGTTTCGCTTGTCTGCTGTCGTAAGTTGACGCTTCGCTGTCCCTGTGTTGCATAGGATTGGATTCCTGCTCGAAGCTGTTCAACACAACCATAGAAATATTTATTTTAATGGAATAATGTCAGCGCGGCTGCCCAATTCACTCCAGGCTCGTGATAACAAGTGCTCAAAAACTAGATACAAGTACTCAAAAACTATGGGCTGAATGTTAGTTTTTGCTTTAGGGGGCAAGTCAAAAGATCTAAACACTATTTACACGCGTTTTCCTGTACAGATAGTTAGCTAAACTACTGAAGTAAATCTTAGCCTTCCCTTCGGCAAAAACGGCAGAATATATTACGCAGCATTTGGAAGAAATCCCACAATACTTGTGGAGTTAATTATCCCTTACAATCTCCTGTTACCCTTCTTGCTCTTTATAACGCATTACGCAACTCTGCCCTGCGGAGGAAGCCAAGAAAAATCCCTGCCCCACTCTCCACTGTAGAGGCTGTATGTCACTTTAATACACCCTTTCGATAATTACGTCACGAATGCTGTTTTGGCCTGGGAGCCTCGCTTCCATTAGTAAAAGACGCAAAGCGATTGGCTCACGATTCATGAGAGTGAGGCTTCCAAGCCAAACGACGTAATTATCGAAAGGGTGTATTATACCCGGAAAATGTACGGCATTACCTGCATGCCTTAATTATAATGTGTGGGTACATAGCCCGCATGTTCAACTAACATGAATCTTAAAGCATGCACTACAGGGCAGTTAGTCTGATAAGTAAATCCCAGCAGTAATAGGAAGCCACATCTGGCATGCACTAGTGCTCACCTGTCCGCCTTGAATTTCTCGCAATAAACCCCTAAAGCCCTGATTCCACGAGCGCTTTTTGTCAGCGAAATGCGAAATATTTCGCCTGTTTCTTTTGAATTGCGACCACTCGAATAAATTATTTCTACTTGATTGCTCACAATTCAAAAGAAACAGGCGAAATATTTCGCATTTCGCTGACAAAAAGCGCTCGTGGAATCAGGCCTTAACGTCAGCCAATTCACTTAACAAGACACAACTGTGTTTTCGATAGTCTCCTTGCCTCATCGTTTCGTGACAATCTTCGCAAGTTACCGATCGAAATTCACAGTTTTGCTGATGGCTGACGAGATCTTGCCTGTTGACAGTTTTTCCACATCCTTCGTGCGCGCGAGCATTGAACAGGAGCGAAGCCGCACTCCATAAGATGCGACAACAAAGCTTCATGTCTTACTATGCTAGTACATCCGCGACTAGCATGTCCGCATCGCTGTAATTGAAATTGCTGGTAAAGATTCGCCATTAACTTGCTTACTAGCTATTGCAAAACAGCGACATGTCTGGGCAAAGAGCCCTTACTTGGCTAAATGGGCACATCTCAAATTCCAAAAAAAAACCAGTATTAATAACTTTTGTGAATATTAGGCCCGTTTCATACGCCGTACTTCACATGTGCCGAATGCATTAAAGACAATAGATAATGAGCTGAAATGCCTATTACCTATTGTTTTTAAGGAGCGATTGCAGAATACCCGTCCACTTTTGAAGATCCGCTAGAAATATCGGTGGCTACGTGGCTACGCAGTGAGTACGAGAACGAGGCAATGAAGTGATTGCGTAATTACTAAAGTGAGTTTTACGTTCTCGAGTTTTACGAGAACGATGCAATGAAATGATTACGTAATTACAAAAGCGTAACTGCTACGCAGTGAGTTTTTAAAAACATTAATATAATGACGCAATTACTAAAGTATACTGTAGGTATATTTTTTAGTGGCTACGTGGCTACGCAGTGAAGTTTTGAAAGAACGAGACATTGATATTTTGACGTAATTACTAAAGTATACTGTAGGTATATTTTTTAGTGGCTACGCGGCTACGCAGTGAGTTTTTGAAAGAACGAGACATTGATATAATGACGTAATTACTAAAGTATACTGTAGGTATATTTTTTAGTGGCTACGTGGCTACGTGGCTACGCGGCTACGCAGTGAGTTTTTAAAAGAACGAGACATTGATATAATGACGTAATTACTAAAGTATACTGTAGGTATTTTTTTAGTGGCTATGTGGCTACGCGGCTACGCAGTGAGGCTTTGAAAGAACGAGACATTGGTATGATGACGTAATTACTAAAGTATACTGTAGGTATATGTTTTAGTGGCTACGTGGCTACGCGGCTACGCAGTGAGTTTTTAAAAGAACGAGACATTGATATAATGACGTAATTACTAAAGTATACTGTAGGTATTTTTTTAGTGGCTATGTGGCTACGCGGCTACGCAGTGAGGCTTTGAAAGAACGAGACATTGGTATGATGACGTAATTACTAAAGTATACTGTAGGTATATGTTTTAGTGGCTACGTGGCTACGCGGCTACGCAGTGAGTTTTTAAAAGAACGAGACATTGATATAATGACGTAATTACTAAAGTATACTGTAGGTATTTTTTTAGTGGCTATGTGGCTACGCGGCTACGCAGTGAGGCTTTGAAAGAACGAGACATTGGTATGATGACGTAATTACTAAAGTATACTGTAGGTATATGTTTTAGTGGCTACGTGGCTACGCGGCTACGCAGTGAGTTTTTAAAAGAACGAGACATTGATATAATGACGTAATTACTAAAGTATACTGTAGGTATTTTTTTAGTGGCTATGTGGCTACGCGGCTACGCAGTGAGGCTTTGAAAGAACGAGGCATTGATATAATGAAGTAATTACTAAAGTATAATGTAGGTCTATTTTTAGTGGCTACGTGCTACGCGGCTACGCAGTGAGTTTTTAAAAGAACGAGACATTGATATAATGACGTAATTACTAAAGTATACTTTAGTGATTACGTCATTATCTCAGTCTCTCGTTCTTTTAAGAACTCACTGCGTAGCCGCGTAGCCACGTAGCCACTAAAAATATACCTAGGGTATACTTTAGTAATTACGTCATTATATCAGTCTCCCGTTCTTTTAAAAACTCACTGCGTAGCCACGTAGCCACTAAAAAATATAGCTTCATTACAATTACGTCATGATATCAACAAGAGAGAGGTATTTCCTTGATATTGTAATTTGATAGCGCGTGACTGCGTAGCCACTGAAAATCTGGCTACGCAGTGAAAGATAACTAGTGGACGGGTATTCTGCAATTTAGCC